GGCCGTGGAGACGCATTTATGGCCTTGATAGCTGGTGACCTAATATCTCAAGCTGTCAGAATTCTTGTGAGAAGTCTACGTCTAATCACTCTGATCCTCATCACCAAATCCTGACTTCAATCACTTCCCACCTTCCCTCGTGCATTAAATGCTTATTCGTGGTCAGTGGGTTTGCTGCAATAAACAGAGGCACTACTTCATTAAATGAAGCCTGGGACCCTGTTGTCACGTGATGATTCGCCTTTAATGCCCTTGGCCGTGATTTTGCTCGGCCTCGGCCTCGGCCTGCACTCGAGGCCGAGATGATCATGCCTTAGCATTTTTCTTTTGTCTTCAGGAAGGCAAAACACCCTGTTGAAACGCTGCGTTTCAGTTTTACGAGCAAGTGCAAGGGCCGAGAAAAGGGGCTCCTTCGGCCAGCTCATGGCCATGATTTATTAGGCACAAACATTGCCCCCACATCCCTGGATTCTTCGACCTCGGCATGGGTAGGGGCCGAATGGATTCCAAGGGATGGACCCTTTGCATTCCTTCTGAAGTGATTGACAACTGGGGCATTAAATGCGCAGGCCAGTCGGCGCATTTAATGCCTCAAGCACGTCGTGTAGGCCATCATTGCCCAGGGCGAAGAATATGCTCAACTACTCCAGCTTCTACAATAATTTTGGAGTGGAGGACAGCGCCGAAGACGACGTCATCGCCCCCCTCGGCGAAGTTGAGCATGCTGCATTCTTGCTGTACTGGTTGTGCAAGTTTGTATTCTGCACCCAGGCGAACAAGGTTACCCTGGAGTTCGCCCACCTGGATGATTACCTAGCGCAGGGCGGTAGGTTAGCACTTGGCCCATTTTTGCTCGGCCACATCTACCGCACGCTTCACGACATCGTCACCGATGGAATGAAGCCGAAGCTCGGTGGTCAGCTGTGGGCTTTCCAGTTCTGGCTGCAAGCCTACTTCCCAGAGCTGAGGGCGGTGGCCGATATCAACGATGCCGAGCCGCTGGCCAATGCATTTGCCCGAGCCCCCAAGAAGCATAACACCTCAGCCCTCTGTTACAAATTTTTCTATGGGCCAGGTAGCAGGAAATTGTTATACACACCCACACGCTGCCGGCGCGTGGGCCAGGTAGCAGGGAACACCCTTGGTCCCAGAATGATCCTCGTGTCCTCACAAGCGCGTAGGATTTCGCGGATCTCAATTCGGATAACGTTTGAACCCCAAACGGATCTCGCATATTGTGTGACTTCCGGGTTCAATACGTTTGGACCGTTGGATCGTAGTCAAATTGGAATATGCTGATCTAGGTAATTTCAGGATCGTGTAGGATTTGACGGATCGTTAATCGGAGTCCCGGATACTCCGAAAAGGCCAACCCTAGGGTTAGGATTACGGAAAATCGCTCGTCCGTCCGATTGAAACCAAACTCTCGGGACTTGTGTCCGAGGAATTTTGGAACCTCTAGGAATGATCGGATCAGGATTTGGAGGTTGTGGACCCACGGAGTCCCGGGTTGACTTTTTGGGACTTTATCGTTTTTGAGTCCTGAGTTACTTCTAACCTACGTCCACTGAGAGGAAAGCTAGTGTGGGCTTAGGAACAACCTTTAAAAGGATGCACGCACTCTTAGGAGCCGGGGGTCCGGGTTTTTAATTTATTATTATTTTAATAAGCAGATTTATTAATAAAATATTGTAATGATTATTCAGGCCCTCGGGTATCAGGTGACCCGCAAGAGGGACCTTCGAAAGGTCCAGCTAGCTCAGATCACCAGTGAGTGGACCTTTTTATTTTCATAAATGAATTTATGTAATTTAATCTCATTGTTTGATCTTGAATGAGTTTATTCATTGATCAGAGTTTTTGTAGCTTGATTTATCGCTTTGATATGTTTTATTATTATATTTTATATGCTACCGAGTTGAGAGTGCCTAGAGGTTTTGGCATACTAGAATTTTAGATAATTAATAGATAAAATGGCAGCAGAGTTCAAGGATAAATAAGAATTTATTTTATTTCTCGTTAAATTAGTTCTAAAACTTTATTTTCTTAGAAACCACCATAGGTACCCAAGATTTATTAAGGTTGCCTTCGATAAATATGTTGCCTACAGATTAAATGGTTGCCTCTGGTTTATCAGTTGCCTTCAGATATGTCAGCATGCTCGACACTGCTCCACGGGATTCGGGGACGCCCGACCCGTGAGGTGCGAGATTGCGGATCAGGTGGACCAAGTGTCCCCTGAATCCTGCGAGACTGCGGTTCGGTTGACTTTGTGTCACCTTGACCTGCGAGAATGTGTCACTCCGGTGGCACGAGAATGGAATTGATGGAAACTAGTGGAATTGACGGATCATAAGGAATTGACTGATTAATAAATGGGTACACCTAGGTGGTAGATTATAGTTGATTTCAATGCTTTCAAGATTTCATGTTTGATTAAGTATTTGAATGATTCTATAGATATAAATATGAATGCATTGATTTCAGTACGAATATATATAAAAGAAATGATATAGTTTTATAACTAATTTTACAGTGGGGTTAGTATGTTCCTATACTATTTTCAGAAAGCATTGTTTTTGGTCCACTCACCTTTTCAATGTTTTGCGCCCCCAGGCAGCAGCCGTGCATCAGTGCGCCACCACCGGGCTGAGACCACCTTCCGCCACATCCTTGCCAATGTAGGGCTCCATATAGTTATTTTACCCTTGTAATATATTCTGAGTAGATGCTCTGATATTGCCCTAGAATACTTGTTTAACTATTAGAATGTAAATATTTTTGCATGCTGGTAGTTGGTGTGTATTCTTATGCTTGTTGGCAGGTGTAATTTTGGGATTGGTCCGATTTCAGGGGAGATCTGCTGAATTTTCGGTAGAAGTTAAACCCCAGTTTTGGTTGAATTTTGACTAGAAGGGCAATTAGGTCAATTGTGTCCGGCACTTGCCAGGTGTTGTCTGCCGCGCAAATCTCACGGCCTGGAGTTCCGGGCCGAGGGGATATGCGTTGACACGCGGCTTCCTGCTTTTGGGTGTGGTGCGGTTGTGCGCGGGCGTGCCAGCACAGTCTACCGTGCGTCGAGATGTTGATGAGTGTAGGATGGATAAGTGGTGCGCCTGTCCCCTCTCGGCATGGAAGTAAACGCCGCCCTCGTTGCTCCCGAGGTGGAAGGGAGTTTTAAAACCATGTGGCCCGCTCTCACGAGACTTGCTGGGAACAAGGCGAAGAATATGATCAACTACTCCAGCTTCTACAGTAATTTTGGAGTGGAGGATAGCGCCGAAGACGACGTCATCGCCGCCCTCGGCGAAGTTGAGCATGCTGCATTCTTGCTGTACTGGTTGTGCAAGTTTGTATTCTGCACCCAGGCGAACAAGGTTACCCTAGAGTTCGCCCACCTGGCTGATTACCTAGCGCAGGGCGGTAGGTTAGTACTTGGCCCATTTTTGCTCGGCCACATCTACCGCACGCTTCACGACATCGTCACCGATGGTATGAAGCCGAAGCACGGTGGTCCGCTGTGGGCTTTCCAGTTTTGGCTGCAAGCCTACTTCCCAGAGCTGAGGGCGGTGGCCGATATCAACGATGCCGAGCCGCTGGCCAATGCATTTGCCCGAGCCCCCAAGAAGCATAACA